AAATACTTTTTGGAAAGTTTCTAGGTATACATATGTAATGTATACTTATAAATAATTAACTCCTTTTAAATATTTTTTTTTTAATTTTTTTTTAACGTTTATTTATTTTTGAGACAGAGAGAGGCACAGCATGAACGGGGGAGGGTCAGAGAGAGAGAGGGAGACACAGAATCGGAAGCAGGCTCCAGGCTCTGGGCCATCATCAGTCCAGAGCCTGACACGGGGCTCGAACTCACAGACCGTGAGATCGTGACCTGAGCTGAAGTCAGACGCTTAACCGACTGAGCCACCCAGGCGCCCCTCCTTTTAAATATTAAATCCTCAATAAGTAAAAGATTGGCTTATTCATTGATTTGTTGCTTATTCTAATAATTACTGGTGAACTTATTTATGTGATGGGAGAAAGCCCACCAAATCATGTTTCATTTTCTTTTCTTAAACTAAATCCAATGCGTGCTTTAAGTCAGGACCAAAATGCTTTTAAGAAGGTCATTTAGGTATATGTTTTATTTTATTACTAGTTGAAGAGACACAGAGAAGTTTCTGAGACATATGCTGTTCCCATATATGCAGGACTTAGTGCTATTTAAATTACTTTTCATCTTGTATTTAAAGTATTTCATGTGGCTTTGGATCATTGAATGGAATGATATAAAATAAAAGTTTTAAATTATTCCTGGAAGTCTACAATTAGCAGGCAATCCCAAAAAAAACTAAGAAACTTGGGGCACTTAGGTGGCTCAGTCGGCTGAGCATCCAACTTCAGCTCAGGTCATGAACTCACAGTCCATGAGTTCAAGCCCTGTGTCAGGCTCTGTGCTGATAGCTCAGAGCCTGGAGCCTGCTTCAGATTCTGTGTCTCCCTCTCTCTCTGCCCCTCCCCCATTTGTGCTCTTTCTATCAAAAATAAGCAAACATTAAAAAAAAGAAAACTAAGCAACTAAAGTAAATCATTATTTCCTCTTAATTTATTTAAAGTGTCTTAAATTTCATGTCATAAAAAACCCATAAATCATTGTTATCTTAGCCCCAATTTGAATCCACTAAGTTATCAGTAATTACTTAAAGTATGCTTAATCAAATAGCAATAATAATACATAATATGTTATGCATTATCAAAAACTCTGACATCAATTTAAAGGAGTCTATTTGTTACTCGCATTGATTAGACAGAGAACTGTCATAGTCTTCTGTACATTCAAAAGTGTGGACAAGATAAAGTTAAGCACTTTTCTTTAAGTCATAATATAAACATCTGAGCCACTTTGGTCTGCTGATGTGAGCCCACATTACCTAAAGATAGCTTATGAAACGGAAGGAATGAAAAACACAAGTGTATATTTGTTTCTGGTTAATATCTGTACCTATTCTAAGTTCTTAAAAAAAAA